GAGAAGCACCAGCTTGTAAGCTATTCCCATAATAAAACTTTGACTTTGACTTTGACTCTATAGTCTAGTCGAATAATACTACTATTGCAGTGTTCCCATGCAGTTCACCACGCCCAATACCTCGACTTATGCTGCCGGCCTTCATAAGCAATCAGTGGTTAATTGTGATTCAGTTTTTTTTCCTCCCTGCTGCTCAGCACACTGTTATGTTTAATTTGAAATGTGACCAATCAGCCAACGGTGTGAAATCACGGAACGGAGAACTATGTCCGACAAGTACAAAATGATTCCGAAGGGAAGTGCTTACCACTAGGTGACCTGAGCTGGGACGGTGGTGGTACAGCGATACTGGCCGTTAGTCTGTCATCTTGTACTTCACCAGTTCAAACCCCGTCAAAATTTCCTTTTACAACCAATCATTTAGTTATTTGAACTGCAAGCTACTCAAGGAAAATTACTCAAACATGAGGAAAGCACTTGATTTAGTCTTGCACTTCTCCTGGGAATTTTCCGGATTTGAATCAACCCACTGCGATGAAAATCCGGATTGTCGTACTTTTGAATAACAGATCACTTGCGTTCAAGTGAATCTGTCCAATTAAAGACAACTAGTGTGTCGAGGTAAACTAGAACAGGTTTTGTGCACGTAAATGATAAAAGTCTAAACACTATAATAGGCATTTGAAATTTGATTTAAAAAAACGGGAGGTGGGAGTGAATATAGTCTGTTTTGAAAACCGCTAGGTAGGGAACGGCTTTAGTTCTGGTGCTTGAGGGTACATATAGAGGTCTAAGAATTGACAAAGAGCACAGATATGTAAGAAAAAGACATCAATCGATGTGCAGTAAGAACTGTCATTAAACAGGATACTGCCTGTGGCTTGACAAAACACCATTATTACCAAAAAGTAGAACTCTACAGAGGTGAAAATGAGGCCTGAGAGCAGATTAACCACCTGAATTTGACATGTCTCTGAATCATCTCTATCTGATACCGCATATACCTCGAAAATAGCGATGTGCAGTCATGAGAGAAAGAGAAGAACAAAAACATTTCACACACGGGAATGAAAAGAAGACTACAACGGTGAACAGATTTTCCTTTTCATCAAGTGTTCGCGAGATAGGGAGAAGACTTGCTACTTACTTGTGATTCGACCACATTTTGCTGAGCCATACGCAACGCAAGGGGTCTAGCACCGGGGGCGCCGGACATCATATCTGATCGGCCCATGTCGGAGCAAAGACCTTCATCCATTCCCGAGCTCAAGTGGATCAGACCACTGTTTGCAAACGACTTAATCACCTCCTGCAAGCCCGGGTGGCATGTACGATCACGAAGGTCCATTGGAGCTCGTTCCACATTTGTGTTTATGTCGGAGAAAATTGCTTGAACCTCGTCTTCTAGGAAGCCCATATTGATTAGCTGTCGCATTGCGTTGGCCCGAAGTAAGCTCTGTTGTTGTAATTGATGTGAGTGTTGTTGCGGACTGAGGAAGAGGCGTTGCTGTTGCTGCGGATGAGCATTCGCGGATGTGATGGAGGATGATGTAGCTGCTTCAGCGGTGGGACTGACACCTGCTGTCACTGAGCAGGACGGTGGGAAGGCCGGATTTAAACTTGTGGGGTAGAAGGCGCTATATGGGGTTCTAAATGCTTGTTGGCCCGTGGGCACAACACCGGTCCCCGAGCAGCTTACTCGTTGTTGGGGCATGACGAGAGGAGAAGGGAACCCCTGTTGGTTAATCCGAGCCGGGGAAAGGATTTGATGTGACTGACCGAAAAAACCAGTATCGTTTGACCAGCCGCCGCCCGCTCCAGCTCCACTTCCAGCCCCCACGGGGCTACCCGCACCTGTGCTGGCATTTTGCATCAGACTTGGTCGATGCGGATCGTTGACAGGCCATCCCGTCGGCAGGTGTGGAGCGTTGCTGAGAGGCGGCCATCGGACATTATTACCGACTTGATTGGATAGCATGTGTGGAGTGTTGTGAGCGGCTTTGCTGGCCATACGACCGAAGCCACCAGTATTTGACCAGCGACCCTTGTTGCTAGTCACAGCANCATCAGACCACTATTTGCAAACGACTTAATCATCTCCTCCAAGCCCGGGTGGCATGTACGATCACGAAGGTCCACTGAGAATGAGGAATGTTAAAGCGTTCGGGTGAGCACTTATTGGACGAAAGTAGTTCAAACAACTCCCAAAAATACAGTCAAGCACATAAAAAAGAATCACACACAACCATGGGGATTCGGGAGTTGAGCAGTTGTTTCTTTTTCTCATGTTTGCGAACAGTAGAATGTCGTCACTTGAATGGTGTTTGCCGAATCCTTGAACAGAACGTCATCCACTGACTGTGGGGCAAATGTCCACAGATTTAAAATCAGACGAAGATGACGGTGATCTGTGAGTGTTCGCATTAGTATCCAATCGATATTGAGTATTCGTGTATTCCCGAGAAGAATGAGAAACCACTCAGCCATGCACAGATAGGTCAGCAGTGAAATAAATTTATCCGATATTTGATTTTCTCAATCTTTACCACAATGTACCTCGATCAATGGCATTGAAGACAGTGCAAAAATCAACGCGGTAATTTGCAATGGGTTGTAGTTAGTGAAAGTAGTTTACCCGTTTTCGCGATATTTAGAAGCCAGTACCAGTCGTTTAGCGGTCATTAAGTAGTGACCATTTGTACTTGAGAATCCACAACCTTGGGGAGAATAAACAGATCCTTCCAAAATACCACGTTACACACGTGTCTAGTTTTAATTCAGTGATACAGTTTGGCAGCCTAAAACGAGTCACGGGAAAATTTGGCGCAAGAGATAGCAAATTCTTTCCTTAAAACGCTCTTTGGAAACTTGCTATTGGTTAACGCTACTGAGAACAGTGATCACACTGTTCTCTTCACTGATCTAAACTTTCTGCGGATTGTTATTCCAGCAGCCTAAGAGACCTCTAGAAGAATTTAATGATCCTCCTACCGCGTGCGAAATCGACCGCCAAGATGATTCCGCCACGATGGATATCACCGATTCAAGATGACGCAGCGTAGATCATTCATGTGCGAATTCCCAGCCCGAATAAGGAGACATCCGGAAACGTCCATGGTTTGATGCAGAAATACCCCGTCGCGGGTCGAAAAGACATAGATTCACAGTCTCGAGTAAGTTTTAAAAGGTTCAATCAAAGCGTACCCCTAAAGTTGGGTGGCACTGAGGACACTGGTCTTTGAATAAGTCAGAATATCCGGGTGTCGAAGAGTTGACGAAAAATAATTGTGACAGTTCAATTTCCAAACAACAAATACAATGCTGCCGTGCATGTGGAAAAAACACTTGTTTCAGCCCGGGTAAACAGCATCCTTCATCATCCTACAGCGGAATACAATGGAGTGAACCTTATTGATCCCTGCCAAGCATACAATGTTTACAAAGGGAGAAGATACAAGATGAATACTGACTGGGTCTAATTGGAAGGAGGTAAAGAAGGAAAGTGAACCTCCATGGTCAACACACAGAGTGCACAATCTAATTGTGCATGCACATCTTCTCAAGCATTTTGACCCGACAGGCAATGACAACGGGAACGCCAGTTGTCATATTCTTCAGTCTTGAGGGCCCAAGTTTAGAAGACGGGAGATACCTACTCTACCTAACCGCTCAGTGATTTTTTTTCATGGCTCGTCTAAACATCATCTGCTGGCCTAGCCGTGGTTTTATTCAACCTGCAGCAACTTATTGCAAATAGGACATTTTGCCGAAGACGACAGCCATGCATGCGCAACACTTGTTCTAGCAAGTTACAAGTCGCATCTTCAGATCACTTTTACAAGCAAATGAACCTTCGGAGACGATCAAGAGTATGAACAGAAAGGCTCATGCGCATCTACTGAGAGCATCCTTGTCTGATTAAAGCATACCACTCAGTAAAATCAATACCCCTCAACCCGCTCAACGGTGTGCTTGGGACCCTATGGTCCGAGGTTCGAGCCCCTCCGAAAGCCTCAGTATGGTCGGGGTGGGTGTTTAGAATTGCGGCTGGTCACCCTGCCCTTGCACCTTGCGAAATACTCCCATAAGACCAAGCGTCTCAAATAGCCTCTGCTGAGTAAATCCTGCTCATTGCCTTCTGTTCGCGGAGGTGTTTTCCCACCAAAGTGAGAGGACGAAAAGCCTACATCCGGGTTGGTGGACCACTGGTACTTCACCTATAGGAGTTGGCCAAAAACCCTGATTCCAAACCAACCAATAGGAGGCGTACGAACCACAACCACAGCTTCCCGGTTGTGGCAGTGGTCACCGGCTCGATTAGGCATCGAGGTGTATTGGGCACCTTGGACGTTCGACCCCGTCCGAAGAACGCATGATCCGATTAACAGCACACCAGTTTCCAATGGATTGCAATTTTCACACTGCCTCGCTGTCCTGCGGATCAGGCTTTGGCTAGCGGAAGGCTCCGGGTGAGGGATTCCTCAAAATTCACCTACCTTGACCTGGGCAACCTTGCAGTATGCCACTCACATGCAAATCTTGAAACGCCCTTCAATTTTTCATGAACATTATTGTACCATAATTTGTTTGGAACAGTCTGGCGTCAGACGAGTGTGAAATATAATAATAATAATAATAATAATAATAATAATAATAAAAGTTAAACAAAGGGTCTATCAGATGCAGCACACGATCAATCGAATGTTTGCATACCTACATCCAAAAGTTCTACATCGGTGTTCGTTGGTACTCTGATTTTCCCGAGTGCTTTGAATTTGATCATTGTTTTGCCCTAGGAGTTTTCTCATTGTTCGTTCAAAAACAGACTGGAAGATCTCTGAGTCGGATAGATATGGGATAAAAGTTGAAATATATTTGGCAGCATCCTCAGTTGCCAATACTGAATGTTTCACCGATCCGTCGATCCGTGGACCGTAGAATTTTTGAACATACATACTATCCCAGTATCTGGATTTTCAGTTGCCACGTTTCAAAAATGTTCCTCGAAAGATCCGGTAAACATTGCAATGCTCATTTCAGTGAGACGGGTGTACTTGCTTTGATAGTATTTTCGGAAAATTATTCACATCTATGAATCTACATTCTCTGATATGGCATTGGTGGTTTTCGTTAAAGCACGAAACCTTCCCATCGGTACGGAATTTGCGTATGATCAAACATTTCCACCAAAAGGTGTCACTATATGTGACTACCTCAATATACACACTCACTTAGAGCTCGTTCCACATTGGTGTTTATGTCGGAGAAAATTGCTTGAACCTCGTCTTCTGGGAAGCCCATATTGATTAGCTGCCGCATTGCGTTGGCCCGAAGTACGCTCTGTTGTTGCAATTGATGTGAGTGTTGTTGCGGACTGAGGAAGAGGCGTTGCTGTTGCTGCTGATGAGCATTCGCGGATGTGATGGAGGATGATGCGGCTGCTACAGCGGTGGGACTGACACCTGCTGTCACTGAGCAGGACGGTGGGAAGGCCGGATTTAAACTTGTGGGGTAGAAGGCGCTATGTGGGGTTCTAAATGCTTGTTGGCCCGTGGGCACAACACCGGTCCCCGAGCCGCTTACTCGTTGCTGGGGCATGACGAGAGGAGAAGGGAAATCCGGTTGATTCATCCGAGCCGGGGAAAGGACTTGATGTGGCTGACCGAAAAAGCCAGTATCGTTTGACCAGCCGCCGCCGCCCGCTCCAGCTCCACTTCCAGTCCCCACGGGGCTACCCGCACCTGTGCTGGCATTTTGCATCAAACTTGGTCGACGCGGATCGTTGACAGGCCATCCGGTCGGCACGTGTGGAGCGTTGCTGAGAGGCGGCCATCGGACATTATTACCGACTTGATTGGATAGCATGTGTGGAGTGTTGTGAGCGGCTTTGCTGGCCATACGACCGAAGCCACCAGTATTTGACCAGCGACCCTTGTTGCTAGTCACAGCAGCGTTAAGTGAAGCATCAGGTCCACCGGGGCCACCTTGAAATGACCAAGAACCAGACGGTCCCAAACCGGGGAAGAGTTTAGAGGAAAACCGCGGTTAGCGGCGCCTGCACCAGGAGCTCCGTGGATTGAGGC